TTCCTTCCTTCCTTCCTTCCTTCCTTCCTTCCTTCCTTCCTTCCTTCCTTCCTCCCACCCTTCTTCCCTGCTTCCTTCCCTTTCTTTTTCTCCTTCCCCTCCCTCTTTTCCTTTCTTCTTCACTTCCTCCCCTCTCTTTTTCCTCCTTCCTTCCTCACTCCCTCCTTTCCTTCCTTATATTATACTACCTGAGATTTCTCAGGAAACAACAATGGAATGAAAAACGGCTGACTTTCTACTGCTGCACCATAGAGAGGGTCTTAACTTACCGCACCTCTGTATGGTTTGCCAATTGGACAGTGGCAGATAGGACAGGCCTCCAGAAGGTGAACATCATTGCCCCTCAGAGGATCATTGGTTGCCCTCTCCTCTCCTTGGAAGAGCTTTATGGCTCCCGTGGCCTTGAGAAAGTTCAAAACATTCTCAAAGTTCCATCTCATCCTGGGCACCCCCTTTTTTGGGACTATTACCATCTGGCAGACAGTATAGAATGATAAAAACAAGGACAAATAGGCTGAAAAACAGCTTCTATCCCAAAGCAATAACTTATATTGAATTCTACTGTCTAGTGTAATATTAATGCAATATCAGGGGTCTTCAATTCAATGTATAGAATGTGAAGGATGTGTGTTTGTGTTTATTTTCATAGTCATCATGTACCCTGAAGATGGCATTTAATTTCATTGGATGAGGTGCAATGACAATAAAATAAATTAAACTAAACTAAATTAAACTTTCCTTCCATCTTCCCTTCCTCCTTCTGACAAGCAAAGTCAGTTGAGAAGCCAGGTAACAATAGTTTTACCAGCTAAACAATGGCAGTGATTCACTTAACAATTGTGGCAGGAAAGGCCATAAAATGGAGCAAAATTCACTTACCGACTGTCTTGCTTTGCTGCAGAAATTTTGGGCATGATTGGAAGTCAAGGACTAATCTTATTTTTAAATCTCGTTTTTTCTCTATATATATATTTATCATGAAACTTAATAAACTTTATTTGAAAGCCTATATCTGAAATTCTGTATTTGGAATTTGTTTCCAGAGTTTGGGATCAACCTTTCCCCATCTGTTGACCTCCATTCCCTAAATAAGGTGGAAGTCCAATCCACCTGGAAAGATCATGGTTAGGAACAAATATCCTAGATTTTTTTTTTAAAATCAGTGATTGCAAATCCAAGTATTTTCCAGTTTTGCAGCAAATGAAACCGACAAGTTGATCCAAAGAACCAGAAGCAGGGATGGGATTCTACCGGTTTGAACAGGTTCTATAGAACCGGTTGTTATGATTCTGCGCAGTTCGGAGGAATTGTGTCCCTGCCTGGCCCCATCCCTCTCTGCCCAGTCAGTCCTTATTGCGCATGCACAACATTGTGTACATACGCAACATTGCTGACTGAGTTCTTCCCTGCTCAGTCCCTCCTTAAGGTATTTCTTTCCCCACCACTCCCAACAATCAGCTGTTCCTATGATCAGCTGTGCTTGGATTCCCCGTGCTGTCTTTACTGCTTTGCCCAGGAGGCTTCCCTGAGACCCAGGAAGGCAAAAAAAATGGAGTGGGTGCTGCAAAATATAAAAAGAAGAAGAAGAAGCCATGCCCACCCAGTCACAGAATGGAAGAATGGATGGAAACTAACCAAGGAGAGAAGCAACCCAGAACTAAAAAGAAATTTCCTGACAGTGAGAGCCATTAGCCAGTGGAATTGCTTGCCACAAGAAGTTGGCAAAGCTCCAACACTGGAGGCTTTTAAGAAGAGACTGGATGGCCACCTATCTGAAATGGTATAGGGGCTCCTTCTTCAGTAGGGGGTTGGACTAGAAGACCTCCAAGTTCCCTTCCAGCTCTATTCTCATTGATTGGTTGATTAGAACCAGGAGACCTT